GGGCCAGAAGGGAAGAGGAGGGAAGATGAGAAGGGACATGTCCCCATGCTCAGCCAGCCGCTCCATCTCTCCTTCGGAGACGGGCTGAGCCAGTGGGTGGTCCACACGCATATGATGAGACTTAGGGGGGCTTCGGGGCCACTCATCCCAACATGTGCCTGTGAAATTAATGTGACTCCATTGCTTGTAATTCATTCACAGAGTGGCCCAAGGCTACTCTCACTCTCCATGGAGTTTCTTTGTCTGTCTGTAGAAGCCTCTCGCTGGCGCCGGGCTGGTTCCACTCAGGCTGTCAGATGGCCTCGGCTCTGCCAGACACACAAGTAGACCCTCCAGTCCTCAGATAAGTGACGCGGTGCGGCGGCCAGCCCTGTGCTTCCAGAGGCAGCACCGCTCCTTTTCATGGGCAGGGGTCCTGCACCTCTGTTCCAGTGTCAGGCTTGGCAGAGGTCGAGCACCCACCCACCCCCTTCACCGCAGCGGCCAGCTGGACTTCGGCGAGGCTGTCCCTGAAGTATTTCTTTGTCACACTTCACAAGTGACCGTGTTCTAAAACTTGGGTGTTGTTTTAAAAAAAGGAAAAGGGCTCTTCCCCTGGCTGCGGAGTCGCGCGGGGCCCTGAGAGGGAGGCCCTGCTGCCCCCGGGCTGCCCTGGACGGTCAGGCCGCTCCCCCGGAGCCCAGGCGCCCGGTCGGTGTCAGGCCGGCAGAGGCCCTTTGTGCTGGACACCAAAGCCACCTAAGTCCGGTTGGCTCAAGGAGCCAGGGGAACAGCAGGCCGGTGCCGTGGAGACAGGGCTGGCTGTGGCCGTGCGGCGGCCGAGGCCTAGGGCAGGGCCTCCGGCCAAGGAGGTCGCGGAGGAGCGCTTCACACGCAGGGGCGCACTGTGCCCTCGGCTTCCTTCTCGGAGAGAAAGAGAAGGGAAGGAGGCCGGCTTCTCAGGTGCTGCCCTGGAGGCGGCCTAGAGGAGAGGGGCTGGGGTCCCTGCCCTGTGCTCCCCTCCTTCCCGCTTCCTCTTCTCGCCTGACTCTTGAAAGGCCTGACTGGTGTGCGCATTTGAAAACCTGCTCCTCATTTTGTCATAAAACCCAGATTTTTTTTTTTCTCACAAAAATGCAACAGCCGAGCAGAAGCAGAGAGGAGTTCGTGCGGCTGGCTGCCGGCTTCCAGCTGAACTGGAACTTCGCCCTCACGGCCGTGAGCAGGGCCATGACCCTGCGCCACAGAGACAGCTTCGGTGAGTGCGACCGACCCCGCACTCTGCCCGCAGGAACCCCTCACAGGGCTGGGGGGCCCAGCCAGCCTCCTGCAGCCTTTCTATGGAAAGTGCAACTTAGGCACAAAACTGGAGCCGCTTTCCAAAGTGGCAACGGGAGCGGCCACCACACCGTCCAACTGCACTCGCTTCCCGCTCCTCACCGTTGGGTGCCGGAAGCATCCCCTTGTCTTTGAATTTGTGCTTTGGGACATTTTGAGAAAAGCACCAAGTGAGACAAGTCACACGGAGAAAAAAATGAGCTCTCGGGGGCACCCATATATGACTTTCAGGAGTAACGGGACAGTCACCCGTGCGTGCAGATGGCGGAGAGAGTGAAGCAGTATCCATCCTGCGAGCTTCCTGGTGGCACAGAAGGCCTTTCTTTGTCGAAGGTCGCGCCTGTCACCTCCGTGGCGCAGACGCGGCAGAACGGAGTTGAGGGAAGGGCAGTTCACCAGAGCCCTCCAGCCCCACGGAAAGGATGAGTCATCGCGACAGGCACTGACTGTGTCCCCGAAAAGCCCAGGCACCTTCCTGGGCCCCGGGCGTGGAGCAGTGGAGGACAGGCCAAGCCTTTGCCACAGTGAGCTCGCCCACCAGCCAGGGCGAGGAGCCCTGCTCCGAGGGCGGCCCGACGCCCCCCAGTGGGCAGGGGGGCGGGGCGGACGAGACAAACCCTGCTCTGGGTCACCTTCGCAAACACTCTGCAGCTCTTTCAAGGGTGGCGGCTTACGGAGACAGCCGTTTGTCTGTCGTGAGACCTCCCCTTCCGTGGGTCCAAATGGCTGCTGTGCGCCAGAGCTCTTCCGGGCTAACGCGGGAGCAGACTCCTGCGGCCGCTCTTGCTGCTGCCCCAGGAAGTGACGGTGTTAACGCCGGCGTCTTCCTCATCGCATGGACCCTGGCTCCCGAGGCTAAACGCCAGGGGTTCTAGGTCAGGCTCGTTCCAGACCAGGCCATGCCTTCCCCCAGCCCGCGGCTGTCACCACAGGGCCAGCAAGGAGCCACGTGCAGTAACGGGCTTTGAAACGGGCAAAAAGGCTCAGCCCCCTCTGAGCGTCCCCGCCTGTCGGCCTCAGAGCTGTCTTACAGCTCTGAGCCTTGTGTCAAACTGATGTCCCCCCAGAGACGCAAGCTGGTGCCAGCGGATGCAACTGATTACCACCCCCTCGCACCTGTTTGTAACTTGATGCCAGCGTTCTCTGCTGTCTATATACGTTTGGTACTTTGAATTCTTCTTTGAACTGTTTGCAACAACTTACCAGTTCCCTCATTCATTCATGAGTTACACATCTTTGACACGGTTCATTTTATATCTGTATAAGATTTGTGCTTTTCCCTGAATTAAAAAATTATTTTTTAAGCATTGCACTAGGCCAGATCTGCCCCTCTGCTTCTCAGCTGAACATTAATTATTCTTTTTTTTGGAAGACCAAAGGCCTTAGGATCTAGAGCAGTCAGCTGAGGCAGCGAGCCCTCCTGTCTCTCCTCGTGACAGTCCTTGCAGGCCCACGTGGGAGAGCGTCTGCTGCTGAGCACCAGCACCTTCCCTCACCCACGGCCCCAGCGGGAGACGCAGCCACACAGCGCAGCAGGGAAAGGGCTCATTTCGAGCATCACAGATGGCAATGGCAGCCGGACCCCTCTGCGCCCTGCCTGCACCTCCCGCCACCCTCTCCCTGCTTCCCCTGGTGCCAACCACAGGAGGCTGAAGGGCACGTTCTGCTGTTCTGAGAGTGGCACCCATTTCTCTGTAGGATTTGCTTTCCCCCATCTCACACCAGCTGGGTTTTAAGTTCCCTTCCGTGGCTCGGGCTAGTTAGCTCTCTGTGCTTTCTGTCCAGAAGTCACCTTGCTGGGGTGATGTCCTGCCCAGGACCCCAGGACAAGCTATGGGAGTGAGGCTCTAGTGGACAGGAGTTAAAAGCCCCAGGAAGTTGTTAGTTTCACGGTGATCTGTCTACTTGTCTACCGAGTTACTCACTTTGGTTGTTATTTAAATGTAGGGTCCTGGCATCTGTTTCACCTGCTGCTTTTGGAATACGTTACTCATATTCTGCAGTCATACCTAGAAGAGGAAGCGGAGGAAAACGGCGGGGGAGAGTTCAAGGGGATGCCTCCAGAGCACCAGGCTCCTGTCCAGCCAGACCAGGCCCCTTGCCAACCTCCAGATTCTTCACCCTCTCAGGAACGTGAAAGCCCGAGCGCAGATCCCCCCCGGGCGATGCTGGAACACGTGAGCCAGAGCCAGTGTCAGTGTCCCGTGGGAGTGAGCTGCGTGCTCCTCAGGGTCCTGGGCTTCCTGGTGGACACTGCCACGGGCAATAAGGTACAGATGCCAGGTGCCAACTCCTGGCCAGTTTTTCAAGTGCAATAAGAACCACCAGGTGGTTAGGAAACCCATAAAGACCCATCGTCCAAATGAGTGATCTTTGCGTTAGGTGGTTTTGCCAGGAGCGATTTTAATAGCTTACCTGTTGATCTCTGCTTGGCTCAGTTTGGGGTGCATTATTGTGAGCCTGGCATGACTGAAGTGTGGAATATGTGCATGGCCTGGGCCTTGTCTTCCCAGAGCTTCCCTGACATGGTCGGGCTGACTGAGAAGGAAATCGCATGGGAGCTGCACTGAAAAGGCCTCTGGTACCAACAAAGGAAACGTTGGGTAGAATGAACAGAAAGGATTTTGAAAAGATGGAATTAGGTACATATTGAAAGGTATAAAATTAAGGACTGCTGTTTATTCAACACCTAACATATACCCTTTACATACATTATCTTGAAGCCATGCGATACTACAGAGTGTCTGTTCTGATCATTTTCATGTCAGGGATGAGGAAACAGGCTCAGAGAAGGCAGGTGACTTGATCAGTCATACAGTAAGCAAACTGTGACACAGAGGTTGGAGCTCTGGCCTGCCTGGTCTGCTCCCACAGCACTAGGAGGCGGAGTCATGCCCGAGAAAAGGAGACCGCAGGTTGCCAGGGTCAGAGATCGGGCATTGAATGCCAAAACGGGGAGCCAGACTGATGCAGGAAGCAGCTGGAATACTTCCACTGACTGAGGGGAGCAGCTGGTTTACAAAGTCTTGACAATTGTCTTGGTACCAATTTTAAAACTTCTATGCCTATGTTTGGAAGTTTAGCCAGTTTACATAGTATCTCTTCTGGTCCATGAGTTCCCCTTTTGAGTAGATGAGAGGTGCTTAGTAGGAGACCATTAAAGGCAGGGCACTGCCCTTAACTGGGGTTAATAGTGGTCATGGCCATGGGATGCGTCATAGCCTGAAAGTGTTCAAGCCTTATAGTCCTCAAAATAACCAGAACCTTCCAGGGCCCTCTCCTTCCTGAGCAAATGCTCTTTCCAAGTTCTCCAGAGTGCAGAGAACCTGTACATGCCGTTATTGAGCACAACTCTAAAAGAACACTGTGCTGGACAAAAATAATATGACCAGGAGCAAAGGAAATGCATCTCTCAGGTTTACTAATTCTCTGTCTGTATTTGGTCTTACTTTGCAATAGCTAATTCACGTATCCGGCTGTCTTCAGTGACCTTGTGCAGTAGATTCAGACATGTGTCTGTAAATAAGAGACTCACCTCTTCTGGGAGTGTTAGTGTGTGTGAAGCAGACTTGATTGAGGAGGCGTGAAAGAGTGAAATACTGACCCCCAAGTCAGGGACCCAATGGGAGAAGGGGTGGGAGTGGGAGGAACTGGTCCTCCTTGGAAGAGGAACAGCTGGCGGCCGTTAAGGCACCACTCACCAGCTGGTGTTTCAGGGCTCTTGGCAGAGAGAGGCCCAGTGAGATCTGAAGAAGGGACTACCTAGTTAATATATGGTGACAGGAGACGATATGACTTTGGGGGGCACACAGAGCAATATACAGATCTTGTAACATAGAAACCCACATCTGAAACCTATATGTTCATATTAACCACTGTCGTCCCAATAAATTTAATTTAAAAAGTAAAAATAAAGTGGGGAAAAAAGAAGAAGGGACTAGTTAGCTGGGCTGTGCCCAGGAGAATGTCCCTCGCTGCCCCCTGACCCCCAGGAGAATATGCCCCATCTTAGCAACAGGGCCCGCAAGGGCTGGCCGGTGGGAAGCTCCTCTGAGTAACTCTGAAACCTTCCGTGCAGCCCTAGCAAGACAAGCATTTGTGCTGGGCTTTCAGCTCCAACAGTGCAGGTCTAGGTCTCTCTGCTCACTGGCTGGAGCAAGAGCTAGGACCTTAGACAATTTGACATGCCCCTTAATCACCAAGGTAACTGGGAATAAACTTTCACCTCTTCGGCCATAGTTGGAAGTGGGTGGAGAGCAGACCCTGACGGGTGTGTACACGGTGGTCCCATGAGATCAGAATGGAGCAGAAAATTTCCGTCACCCCGTATCGTCCTGGCACAGCGCACGCATCCTCGCTGGGTGCGGGGATGCTGTGAGCACACCGCTGCGCCACCAGCTGTAGGAAAGCGCAGCGCACCCACCGCGCCCAGTACGTGATCCTTGCCAGTGAACATACGTGATTGTTACTGGTTTATGTGTTTACCATACTGTGTTTTTATCATTACGTTAGAGTGTACCCTTTCCACTTACAACACTTGTGTGCTATAAGACGGCGCGCCCTGTTACGCGGGCTGCGGCCTCACACAGCGCCTCTCGTCGCAGATTTACTCTCGTGCCTGGGCTAATCTCACAGTAACACGCTGTACAGCCCCGTGGCCTGGGAGCATTGGGCCAGCCCGCGAGACCTAGCTGTGTGGAAGGCTGCACCGTCTAGGTTTGTGTAAGTGCACTTTATGAGGTTCAATAATGATGAAATTGCCCAATGACAAATTTCTCAGAACGCATCCCTGTAGTTAAGAGGCGCATGACTGTATATTTAATTGGTGGAAACAACAGAGAGGATATTAAAGCTTTGCAAACAGATGAATGTCAGATAAGCCAAGGTACTACACATTAGAGGTTAATTAAGCCTGCTTCGGTTGGTGAATGCCTGCTGAATTAGCCATAATGACCGAATTGGACGCCAAAAAGTTAGGCTCATTTAAATGTCATTCACTGTTCAGTGTCGCCCTCAGCCCATCATCCACCCTCTGAGCCCATTGCGCTCCTCGGCCGAGCAGCATCTGTGCCGGCCGCCTCTTGGGACAATTAGCGCCGTCCTGCACCCGCGGGAAGAGCCGAGGTCAGCACTGACTGCCATGGCCAGCTGTCACTCCTGCATTCTAGCAACGTTCAAATACTAAGACGCCAGGGGGTTTTAAAGTACAGTAAAAAATTACACTGATACTAAGTAACGAATAGCCTTTTGAGAAATAGAGCACACAATTTTCACTTAGGCCGTGTGGCTCACGGATTAAAGCACAGCAAAAGAATAAAAAAATAAGGACTCCAGATAGAGGGTAAAGGTCAGGACAGGTTTTTTTGAGAAAAGAAAAACATCTTTGCATTGGGTGACGATGGTTATTATCGAACTTACAGAGAAAGGGTGAGAAACGTGCTTTTGAGAGCTTGCGCTCCAGGTCATCTTGCGCACATCTTTGTCAAAACATATTAGCGTGTTGGGGGCTTATTAATGGAATCAGACCAAGAAAATATATATCTATTGGTTTTTTAAAGTAATCAAGTGCAAAGATTTGCCAGTCTTCCCTCGGGCTAAGGGAAGATGGGGTCTTACCCTTGTTAGGACAGGAAGACTTGCTCTGGCAAGTCAGATGGCTTATGTGAGAGCTGGCACCTCAGTTCATTTCAGAATCTGCGACCCTCTCAAAGCCAGCACTACGCAGCTGTGTGTCAATTTAATCGATGATTGTTTTCACAGATCTTTCCGTCCTTACCTCCTGGTATAATTGATGGATGGTGGAGGGAGGGTCTATGTGAGATCTTCACCCAATCATGTCAGCCCAGAACCAACAAGAATGTGGGATTGGTGTCCGCCTGGAAGGCAGCCAAAGTGATGTGCGCTCCAGCCCTCAGGGCCACACGGAAGCCCATGGATATTTCACGGGCTTCCTCTTGATTTTCAGAACGGAGCCCCGCTCTCCCATCTGCGACGGGAGAGTGTTGTTGTTCAATCAGTGTCTCACAAACTGGCAGGCAGGCCCCCGTTCCTTTTCCTAAAGAGTCGGTCCACCTGCTCCCACTCCCCACGGCCTGTCCTGCCCTGTCCAGTCGGGGGGTGAAGATTCCTTCCAGAAAGTCCTCACCAGACCCTGTGTTCCCCTGAGAAATTAGGATCTCCTGTAGCAGAAATAAATCCACAAGCTTCCCAAGATCGGGTAGGAAAATTCAAGTGGTGAGTCCTGCAGCAGGAAGCAGTGTAACGTTTTATCTTTTGCTTTGAACATTTCCCTCTTGCAGCTCGTCAAGGTATTGTTGGAAGACAAGGCCACCGAAAGCACCGTCAAGTTCAGCCTCCCTGTGGGACAAGAGGCCCTCGTCACCCTAAAAAATGGACAGAAGTTTGTGATTCACATATCAGATGTACCCCAAAGCTCTGAAAATAGTCATTTCAGGGAAAGCAGTGCTAATAAGTAAAGTTATTTATTTGAATAGGACATGAATAAACATAGATTTTGATTCTTAAAAATATATAAAATTTCAAAACTTTTGTATTGATAAGAAAAAAGATTTTATGTACATAAGAGATGTAGCATTGTCTATTTTATATTTATGTGTATTTCAAGGAGTTGATTTTGATGAAATATAGAAATTGATTTGGAGAATAATTTTGGCCTCTGTTGCTTCTCTTTTGGGTTTTCCAAGTATTTCTATTTGAGGACTTAGCAGAAGAGAGATCTGAGAGATCGTGTTGGGAGTAAAGAAATGGATATGTTGTGGGCCATGGGAATAGCAGTGGTGTTAGACGGGTGGGGTCAGACCGGACCTGGGCTCAGCAACCTTGGTACTTGGGTTCTGGCTAGGAAAGAATTCAGAGGCAAGGATCAAACTGTAAGAGAATATTTATTCAGAAAACCACAGAGGGAGAAAAAGTAATTTGTAGAAGAAATGGGCTTAGGAAACAAGTTATAGAGGCAAAGGAAGGGCCTAGGAGTAAGGGAGCTAATGGTAACACACCTGGGGGGGAGGGGGAAGTGAAAGGTGCCGGTGTCCTCTTGGGAGGGAGAGCGCTGGGTCCTCTGTCCTAAGGGTTTTGAGGGTGGAGATCTTTGGGGAGGTCCTAGGGGAGGATCGCAATAGAATATTCGGCAGTTTTCCAGAATATTTGGCAGTTTTCCAGGTGTGTCCTTTGAGTCAGGGTCTCCACTGATTGGTCAGCCCCAGGGCAGGGTCATTATCCAATGCAGCTGGGCCTGAGGTCAGCTGTGGCTGGTTTTGCTGCTTTTCTGGGCCTGGAGCTGAAATACAAGTGAGGCCTGGATGTTATCTCTAGGGAGGAAAGGTCAGGGGGTCCAAACCGCATGATCAGCCATCTGCTAGGGGAGGCGAGGTCCCACCCTACAATTGCCTGTTGCTAGGCACCTGGGGCTTTCCTCCCTGGTGACCTTCTGTGCCTGGCCCGTCCTTGCTCTGCTCACATCTGTCTAACTGCCCACCACAGATATATTTCCAGAGGAATGCAAAATGGCCAGTGGTAATATTGTTGTCCTTCCCCTTGGTAGTGCCCCAACTAAAACAGAATGTGTAGAAAGATCTCAGAGAGTGAAGAACGAAAAAAACGACGGTGCCGTTAGACCCCTTCGCTGGTCGCTCTGCCTCCCCAGCTCCCTTCGGCTCACCCCTCGGCCGCCTGAGAGCGCGGTACAGCTTTGAATCCAGCAACTTCGGCATCACATGAGGATGTCCTTCTTTGAATCACTTTTTACCCCTTTGTAACAAAATCCTAAAAAAATGTTGAAACTAAGGACAGGTCATTGTTAAACCAGATCCATTTTTATGTAACTGGTTATAATATTTAAAAGAAATTGAACAATTCATGCTTAGCATGATTCCTGGTATAAATGGAAGTAAGGGAGAATGTTTACTCATCTCATATTACAAAACAAGTGGATTAAATTTCCCCAAATGCTCGGAAATTTAAAAAAAACATAAGAGCTATATATTGTGCTAGATTCATTATTTGTCCTTATGGTTTAAAAAGTAATGTTTTAGAGCCCTTCCCCTGTACATTTAATATATTATCTCATTTCTTAAGCTGTCCAGGGGTCGTTATTTATCAAAGAATAACTCAGAGGTGTCCTTGGTTCACTGTTGCCTGACTTTGCACATCATTTGTTTGCTCACAGGCAAGCAGACGGGTGGTGGACTGAGGCAAGGAACAAAGGCAGCAAGATTTATCAGTGTGGGAACAGTGAGATTTTGTTGCATATTTTGGGGTAAACTAATTACCTGAGAGCCAGCAGAGGGCATTCTGTCCTTGAAAAAGCTAACTGTTTATCAAAGAAAATTTAATTCTTTGTCTGTGGGGTTGGAAATTAGGCGAGGAGATGAGGCTGGGGTGACAGGAGCAGATGGGCCTCAGACCCTCCAGCACTCCAGTTCTTTATCTGGAGGCGGCCATACAGCGTGCTCGGCTTGTGAAAATGTGTCCCAGAGCTTCCAATAGGGTTTCATTTATGTATCAAAGATGTATTTTTTAAAATGGAAGGCACTGTGCACATTATGGGGACTGTCTTGGAGGTCCCTGGAGGAAGATGGGCTGGGAAGCACCCAGAAGGGTTCCCAGAGAAAGTGAGTTGGGCCTGATGAGCCGCCAGGGTCAGCAAGCACTGGGGTGAGGTTGGCACTGCACCTGCCGCCCGGGTCTCTGTGTTGCCCTCCCAGCTGATGGGCGGAGGCCGAGGCCGAGCAACCACAGGCCTCAAGCCCTAGCACACTTTCAGCCAGCAGAAGAGAGAGGCTTTTATCTTGAATAAAGTTTGACATTTTTATTATTACACTGGGCTGGAAGTTCTAATTACTAACAGAGACAGCTCTTACGATTGAAAGTAACTGGTAGTGTTCTATATTTGAAAGTGAACATGACGTGAACAGGAATGTCCTGTAGACCCTCCCCCAAACTTGGATTTTTGTCTAAGAGCCATAAATAATCCACAGAGAAGGTGCAAGGATTGCTTTCTGCTTGCACCATCTATGGGTTCACAGTTGCGGCATTGCAAGCTAATCTTGATGGCTTAAAACAGCCACCATCGATTTATGACTCCTCAGCGAACCACAGGATGCTTGGGCAGTCTGTTGCTCAAGACTGGTCTTGGTGAACCTCAGCTGGATCTGCTCAGCCATCTGCTCCCCTGACAGGCTCGTTGGGGGCTGGATGGTCTAGGATGGCCTCATTGGAATGACTGGCTCTCCCTGTGTGACCCCACATCCCTCCAGCAGGCTAGCCTGTGCATACTGCCATGGCAGAGGTGGGGCCCCAGAGAGCGAAAGTGGAAACACACAAGCACGTTTTCATGCTTCTGCTTGTAACAGTGTGTTCCTGTCCCACTGACCAAAGCGAAGCACAGAAGATGTGAACACAGGACATGATGTGGACACAGGGAGGTGTCAGGCAACTGCAGTCACTGATTTCAATCTACCTGATCAAGTTCAACCCAATACAATGTCTAAATCATTATCCCAAATGTCCCCTTAGAGAAACAGTCTCCTGGGGGACACGACCTGCCCAAGGCCATCTAGACAGCACCAGGCAGACCCCAGTCCCCCACGGCATCATTCTCTGTGACACCGTTGCAGCACTGGCCCCCCACGCAGCCCAACGGCACGAAACTGGGCAGCTGACCCTCGATTTTGCATGAAGGTAACAGTGTTTTCCGAAACAGCAGCTTGAAAGAGAAATAATAATGAGACTCTGTACAAACCGAACCTACCAGGGCATATTCCTGTTGCCAGCGGAGCTCTTGCAGAAAGAGAAGCAGCTCAGATTTTCTTTGCTTTGATAACAGCTACGCCCAGAGGCCTTGGAATGTCGCTTTACTCATGGTGCTGTTAGTGGAGGCGCAGTAACATTCAGGCAGCAAAATATCCAAAACCAGATATTCAATCTAAACTGTACAGCACTGTGTTCCAAAGTTATTTGTCATGTATTTTTTCTTTTGCTGGGTAGTCTTAAAATATCAAGGGTCACCAATGAACAAATGGGCAAATCCATGTCCTTAGGCAGTTTGTATTCCAAGTAGAAGGCTGACACTGAACCGATCAACAAATAAAAGCCTAGTATCTTAGGTGGTGATTACTATTACTAAGTGTAAGAGTGAAAAAAGGCACACAGTAAGGGAGATAGAAAGTGATGGGGATGCCGGGTTTTTAAGCAAGGTCTCTCTCCCAAGGCATAATTTGAAAAGAGATCTGAAAAAAAATAAGAGAAAAGAAAGGTGTGAGAGTCCTCTAGAAGGCGGGGAGAACCAACCAGACAAGTGGAGCAGCACTACCCGACCACCCGGCCGCCCCAGGCCCATCGACATTAAGGGCCACGACTTTTAAATGATTGAGGGATTTAAAATCCCTGATTTCCAGGAATATGGTAAGCTCGTTTATTTGAACCAATTCATCAGGTAAAAACAATTACACATGTGGGAAAAAATATGTAAATGTCATTTTAAAAGCATCGAAAAGCTGACAAGATAGAAAATCTCCAAGTCAGAATCGGATATGGCCAGATGGACCAAGCACCAAGGCTACTCTTTCCGACCCACGCAATTTGGATGACTTCTCCTAACGTGAAAGGGACAACAGTCAAACACCCGACCCATCTAGGGTGGGACCTCTAAACTGAGATACCCACAGGGCTGCACATTTCAGGAAGGGGGAGCAGAAGGGAGGTGCTCCTGCTCCCCACCCCCAGGAATAACGAAGTTGCTGAGCGTGTAAGGGGACAGCTGTCATTCTAGCCCCCGGCATCCACTTCTTACCCACAAGTGATATTCTGTTGTACGGATACACCACTTTTTATTTATCCATTCATCATCTGATGGCCCTTTAGGCTGTTTTCACATAATGGAAAACATGAATAGTGCCATTTCCGCTTGAGTGATGTCTATACATATAAACACTTGTGGACAAGGCTTTGTGTGGACGTATGTTTTCCGTTCTCTTCAGAATATACACCTGGGAGTGAAGTTGCTGGTTCATGTGGTAACTCTATGTTTGACTTTTTCAAAAATTGCCAAACTGTTTTCCAAAGCGGCTGCACCATTTTATATTCCCACAGAAATGTGAGAAGGTTCTACATTTTCACCAATTTTTATCACCTGCCTTTTTGGTTATGGGCTTCTTAGTAGGTGTTAAGTGGCATCACATTACACTTTTAATTTTGTATTTACCTAATAACTAATGATGTTGAATATCTTTCCATGTGCTACTGGCCATGTGCATAACTTCTCTGGAAAAATGTCTATTTGAGTCCTTAGTACAATTTTTAATTGGGTTATTTTCTTGTTACTGAATTGCAAATGTTCTTTGGACATTCTAGATACAAGTCCCTTGTCAGGTACATGATTTACAAAAATTGTAAAGGTAAATACTTCAGTATGTCTCTGTAACAGAATTACTTTCCTAACCAAAATTCCTTCCTCACA